CTGGCCTCGCCACTTGCCCACTTGCCTCTGTCTAAACGTGAGCAAGCTCCGAAAGGTCACTTCCGGACCTTCTGGAAGTCCGTAGACTTGGCCTTTCGGTACCGTAGCAGCTACAACCTTGACCTTTCAGGACTACAGCAGCTACGACTTTGACCCTTCGGAGGGGCTACAACTATAATTCCTAGGACCTGCTAAGACCTACAATCGACAGGTCTACAGATCGAACCCCTACAACCTACGGACCTACGATAGCCTACCAACTACTGCGAATACACAAGATACGGGTTCAACTCTCAGGGTCGACTCAAGTATTGTACACAGGTGAAATGAGGACTAGGGATCGAGCCCTGGGATCTGCATCGGCTACTGCGAAAGGTGGAATCTGTTTCACTCCCGCCGGCCTAAATTCGAGGTCCTCCGAGAATATTTCAGTCCAAGGCAGGACCTTTACCTTTCTCGTCTCTCTCATAGGCGCGGACTATATTGGAGCGGACACTAGAAGTTCTGTTCGTGTGTACCAGCGGTCGTCGTCCGGTTCTTGATACGCAAATCGAATCTTGTACTGTTTCTGAGGACGACCTCTACGTCTTGTTCTGAAGACATCTTCACCTACAATGCCCTCAATGTCATATCTTCCATCCATGTCCGGGGGGATCATGGATCTTCTTGATGGAAACTGTTGGCTCGCGACACAAGGTAGCAACTTTGACGCGTGAAACACAAGGTAGGTGTGGAGGTGTGCTGGGATCTCTATTATATAGGACGGTCCATCCCCTCCACCCTTGACTTCTAGGACTGGCCACGGTCCCTTGTACGCTGGCAATAGCTTCTGTGAAATGTTCTCCTCAGGAGCAAATTCTTTACACTTGACCCAGACTAAGTCGCCTACTTGAAATTGCGATGGGCGACGGTGCTTGTTGGCTTGCTCTATCATCTATGCTGGGCCTTCCTGAGGTTCTCTATAACGGTAGTTAATTCTTTCTCGTGCTGAAGCGCAAACTCCCTAGTTCATTTGGTCCCAGTTAAGTCCTTTAAATGGTCTATGTGGTTTAAAAGACTTATGCAACTCGTTGGGAGTGCGACAAGTGGCTAGATGCACGCTATTGTTATATGCATTGGCTACCTTCGGGAGCATCTCATCCGAATTGACTTGATCCGGTCTAATGTACATACGCAAAACTTGTTGCATGATTTTATTCATTTGTTCAGTCTGGCCGTTAGTCTCTGGATGACGGCCAGATGACATCAACAACTTAAGACCCATAGACTCTCATCAACTCCTGCCAATTCTGACTAGTGAAACGGTTCTCTATCACTAACTATAGACAGTGGAATCCCGTGTTCATTGACCCAATGATCAAAGAACTCCTCATGCTCCTGGAGTGTCCTACTGAACACTAGAATATCATCTAAGTAGACTACTACAAACCTATCTAACCACGACCTAAATAAGTCGTTCATACAACGCTGAAAAGTTGCTGGCGCGTTGGTTAGTCCAAAGGGCATAACTATGAACTCGTAGTGCCCATACCTATTCCGGAATGCAGTCTTATACTGATCATCAGGGTGAACCTCTATCTGATGGTATTTGAACTTCAAATCTATCTTCGAGAAGTACTTGCAACCCTGCACCCGATCTAAAAATCATCTATACGGGGCAGTGGCTCCGCATTCTTCACTTTAATAGCATTAAGCCCCCTAGAGTCAATGCACATTCTAAGCTCTCCCTCCTTCTAGGGGGAAATAGAACAGGTGCTCCAAATGGAGACGAACTGGGCCTAATCCAACCCTTCTCTAAGAGTTCATCTACCTGCTTGTGCAGCTCCTCCAACTCCCGTTGGGACATCCTATAGACTGCTCCTTTAGGAGTCCTACTGCCAGACTCTATCTCAATGCGATGCTGGATGGGCCGCGGGACTACCCTTGTTGATGGCTTAGCTAAATCTGTGTACTCTTCCAGCAGCTTGGCAATAGCGGGATCTATGGGCTTTTCCTCTTTAGGCTCAGTAACTGGTCTAATGTAGGCTACAAAAACCTGTTTTTCTAGCTGCTGCTCCTTTCCTAGCCTCGCAAATGCAGGAGCGCTAAGACAACAATGGGCTAAGGAGTTGTCTACTCTTGACACATGCAATAGACGAGCAGTCTTCACCTCGCTTGATGGACTAGGGAGCCTACACTCATGCTCTCTCAGAAGAAGTATGGCTCCTGCTGCCTCTCCCCAGTCCATTCCTAGGACTATGTCAAATGGGAGGTTGTCCTCTACGAGGAGAGTCAGGGAATGGAGAACTTTCTCCACCTTCCCATCTTTCTCTAGGCGGAAGTACGTCTGGACTCCCTCTACGTAATCCTCTACTCGCATCGTGCGATTATCTGCGAGGATACTTACTATGGGGTCTTGTAACTTTTGGACTTTCAATCCCAACTTTAACTTTTGCAGCGCCTTTCTACTAATATAGTTGCGAGTGGCCCCACTATCTAAGAGGCCCCCTACTCTGCTCCTAAAGACTTCTACATCTGAGAGAAGGTTAACCGACCCCCCAATTTTCACCCTCATTTATAAGAAAACCAAAGGGTCATTTAACCATACTTTACACCAATCTTCCATAACCTAAACCTTTGATTCTCACTTCAACTGACTTAATTCCTAATGGAATAGCAGCAAACATGCCAGCGGTACTCGAGTCCTCTCCGAACCGTACGAGATAGTCACCTATCATACGGCTCTCTATTCTACTTGCTTCGTAGTTCCAATCTTCGACTGAGTGAGTTGAGTGAGAGGCCGAAGTAAATAAAAGAAAACGCAAGAGTGCCCATAGGATCACGTATACAGACGATTTATTTTTAGAATTGAATTAATTTCGCCAGATTACAGAATACATACATATATGACCTTTCCCGGAGAAGGATTGGTCACACTAAGGTAGGATAGTAGGGAGAGGGGATACACTAGGAGTATTGACGTGAGGTTGGGACGGGTGGTGGCCTCGCCTTCCCAGAGCGACCAGGGTAGACTGCTCCCGACAATCAACGTGTGCCTAGTAACCGGCCTCTACAACACCCTCGACTTAAAAAAAAAAAAAAAAAATTCTTACTAACATATTGTAAAAAAAAAAACAAAAATAAATAAATAAAAAACATATAAAACAGCAAGCGAAAAGTGCACTTTCATGAAATTTTACCAACATTTCAATTTGTCGATTTTCACAATTTTCACCACTGCCCAAAACAACCATCTCCAGGAACCCAACAAACACCAAACTTGGCACATACAGACCTTGACCAAAAACAAAACAGGCCAAAAAAAAAAAAACCAAAAAAACAAAAAAACATGATCCCCACTACATTTTTCAGGGTGGTGAAGGTTACCCTAGGGGTGAAAAGTGAGGGCACCTGTTAACCATTTGTGCTACATCTACTAGTACTAGCTGTCCTCTACTCTCTTTCTTCATCTTGGCCCAGGCGGGCATTCTCTCCTTTAGCTCGTCAGCCGCGCCTGTGATGGAGGTGCCTAAAGAGAATCTGACACACACAGCCTCTGGACAGCTATTTAGGCACTGGCCTACAACCTCTGCCATGGCCGCATGTGGTGTGGGAGTTTCCTGTCGGCTCGCGCTCATTTCCCCTCATGGCCTTATGGTAGGGGCAGTTGCAACCCTTACCGGCGGCTTCCTTTTGACCCCTGGGCAGCCGATCGGGCCTGTCTATACTTGGACAATATTTGATGATGTGGCCAGGGTCACGGCAATATATGCACTGCCCCTGGTCCACACGTTGTTGCCAGACGCGCTGGCCCAAGCCCAAATCTTTGCAAGGTCAGCCCTGTGGCAAACCTGGGTGCAAACCACTTCTCCTATAGGGTGACCTATTCCCCCTTTTCGGTGACCTATTTCCAGAACGGTTTTGGGAGGGACCTTGACCCCTGCCTCCCGCTTGGCGGTTTCCTTTTCCGCCAACCCCCTGATCGCCCTGGAAACGACCACCTGAGGCTCGACCCCCTTGGCCCTGGCCTCTACCTCCTCCTTGCGGCCTCTCTCCGGCCGCGACAACAGCGTAAGGTCTCCCCTGGCTAGCACTACTGTCTCCTTTCTCTTCTAGTCCCCACTGTATCTGGTCGTAGGGGACTTCATCCATACGACCTTCATCTAGTGTAAGGATCAGGCAATCCTTCGTCTTGACCTGACCCGAGATGGTACTGCCTTTCCACTTTTTGCCCTTATCCAGGTCCTTGTGTCAGAAAGTGGAGACTAACATGGACCGCGCTTCGAACGCTACCACTTCCCTGCTCAAAGCATCATACCTTTTTACAAAGAAATATCCGCGTAGCTGTTCGGGCATGGCACGATAGAAGAGGTTGACCAATTGGGTCTCAGTGACCCCATGGTCAGGAACGGCGACTAACTCGTCCATCACACCTTTGAGTGCCCTGGCTTTGACACTACGGGTAACGTCTGCAAACCGTTCTCTCAATAATTTAAGGAAATCGCTGAGAGGGGTAAACGCTGAATACGCAACTAAGTCATCGTGGCAATTGGCGGCGCGACACAGGGAACGGGCGAAGCTTGCTGCTTCCTCCTTAAGAGCGTGGATAGCTATTAGGACGTGTTCGTCTGGGGCGACTTTCTGCAAGTGCACATACGTTTTAATATTGGCTTCCCAATTGTCGAAGTTCTCCTCCTTCTTTCCACTATAGGAGTCGGGGAACTTCACTTTAACAGGCTCCCTACGAGGACGTGCTTCTTCTTCCTTGGGTGCAGCCAGCCTGGCGCCCTCTATGGCTCGCGTGCAATAACGCTCTGTGTTCTCTAGGCGGGCCTTCACCTCTGAGCCCACCTACATCACTAAGTCATGTGCGAAGTCTCTGAATCCCAGCCGTACGGATCGTAGGGCTATGTCCCGACTCCTACCAAACTGATATTGCTCTTCCTGGACGTGGGCCAGGCGCTCGATGTTCCTCGCCATGATCTGCATTTTCCCCAACAGGTCCGCCTGCGCCGCCATTTGCTCTCCCTGCTTCTTTACTTCTTCCAATTCCCTTGCCGCCTGGCTCACTGTCTCCACTCTCTTTTTCCTTTCCCTCATCAGTTGCAGCTTCCACTCCATCCTCTTTTCATCCTCTATGGTCTGGTGCTTGAATGGCTCTTCCTATGCACCCCACTCTTTCATGGACGCCTCCCGCTCTTCCCTGGTTACATACATTAATGCCTCCTCCTCTTCTCCTAGGGATAAATTGGCCACCCATTCCGTAATCTTCTTCTCCAACGGGTCTTCCTTCACACCACTGGGTTCTCGTCTTCCTCTTGTCCTTCTCCTCTCTAGCGGCGGTTCTTCTACCTCTTCTTCTGCCTCTACGGCTTTAAGTTTTTCTTCCTCCTCCTTTTCCAACCTCTCCAGTTCCTTTGCCATCTCTTCCTCAAAGTTCTTCTTCTTTGCCGACTGTTCCTCCAGCAAGGCCTTCTTCTTGGCCTCCTTCTCCCTTCTCTCCTTCAGGATGGCAGCGACTTTCGCATCCTGCTCTGTTGTGTAAGGGGAGGTGCTCGTCCCGGTACGCGTGTCAACCATGGTGATAGACGCACAACCAAGTAATGGTTCCACTCCTCACCACTTACTCTCCCCCTAACTAACTCAACTTAAGACCGACTCAATCTAAGGACCACAGGCTCCGTATAGAACCCTACCAACTATGGTCTCTAGCCTGGACTTTAAACTACAACCGTCACTACAGAACCTATTGCTGATCAGTAGGCATTTAAGGAGATCCCCCGTAACTCCTCAGGAATTCTTTAACGTCGCGGTCAGGACAACGCGATCAGCAGGTTCTGTCAAGACTTAGACGGCCCGTTGTGCAGCCCACAACTCGGATTTTGGGCCTACTGTGCCACACCAAGCAGCCCGCCGGTCAGTACCGGTCCTTGGGAGGGTTCGTGTCCTCCGGGACAGTCGAGTCGTCAGACACAGCCTTTAGCCCTACTCAGCCCGTGTGGGTTTGGTCAGCGAGGCCCTATCCTTCATACACGGAGTCCTATCACCTGGACAGAAGAGACTCAATGCAGAAAGAAGAGACAAACAAACTCAGTCTCAGCAAGTACCATAGGGTGAGTGTACATTCATAGGGCGAGGGGATAGGCTAAGGGCTGGTGAGATTATACCAACTCCAACTTGGTCAACGTCATGGTCAACAGCTCCGGTCAACGCCTTGGTCAATGCTTGGTCAATGCGGTCAAACCTTGGTCAACACCCCGGTCAACCCTCTGGTCAACACCTGGTCAACTCTTGGTCAACACTGAGGTCAACCCTCAAGTCGGCTATGGCTGCGGGCACTTTCTTCCTCGCCAACTTTCTTCACCTTCTTCGCCTTTCTTTTATCTTGCCCCTTTCTTCTTCCTTTCTCTTTTTTTTTTCTTTCTTTTTTTTTTTTTTTTCWCCCTCGGCTTTGTCTGTCTTTATCTCCATTTGATCTCTCTGCTTCTTTATCTCCTCCAATTCTCTCGCCGCTTGGCTCGCCGCCTCCATCCTTCTTTTCCTTTCCCTTGTCAGACGAAACTTCCACTCCATCCTTTTCTCATCTTCTAAAACCCGCCGCTTGAGTGGATCTTCTTCAACATCCCACTCTTTCACGACTGGCTCCTGTTCTTCCCTGGACACATACATTAAGGCCTCCTCATCTTCTCCCAGGGATAATCCAGCAACCCACTCTGTAATCTTCTTCTCCATTAGATCCTCTTTTGTGCCACTGCACTCACCTCTTCCTCTTGCCTTTCGCCTTTCCGGTGGCTGTTCTTCATCCTCTTCCTCCTCTTCTACCGCCTTGGGCTTCGCTTCTTCTTCTCTCTTTAGTCTCTCCTTCTCTCTGGCCATCTCTTCCTCAATCTTCCTCATCTTCGCCGCTTGTTCCTCCATCAGGGCCTTCTTCTTGGCCTCCTTTTTCTCTCTTCTCTCCTTCAGGAGGACGGCGACTTTCGCCTCCTCTTCGGCGGTGTAGGGGGAGGTGCTCCGGCCACTACGCGTGTCAACCATGGTGAAAAGTGCACAACCAAGTGACAGTTCCGCTTCTCACCACTTAGACCCTCCTCCTAACTTACAAAACCTACCGACCCGATCTATGGACCACAGGGTTCGTAGAGAGCCCTGTCAACTATGATCTCTAGCCTAGACTCTAATACTACAGCCGGCACTATAGAACCTGTTGCTGACCAGGAGGCATTTAAGGAGATCCCCCATAACTACTCAGGAATTCTTTAACGTTGCAGACAGGACGACGCGGTCAGCAGGTTCTCTCAAGACTTAGACGGCCTGTTGTGCAGCCCACAACTCAGATTTCGGGCCTACTGTGCCACACCGAGCAGCCCGCCGGTCAGTAGCTGTCCTTGGGAGTTTTCGTGTCCTCCGGGACAGTCGCGTCGTCAGACACAGTCTTTAGCCCTACTCAGCCCGGCAGGGGTTTGGTCAACGAGGCCCTATCCTTCATACTCGGAGTCCTATCACCTGGACAAAAGAGACTCAATGCAGAAAGAAGAGACAAACAAACTCAGACTCAGCAAGTACCATAGGGTGAGTGCACATCCATAGGGCGAGGGGATAGGCTCTCTCTCTCTCTCTCTCTCTCTCTCTCTCTCTCTCTCTCTCTCTCTCTCTCTCTCTCTCTCTCTCT